CTTTAAAGAACTCAAGAATATCCATTTTAATTTCTCTACTGATACCTCCCACAACTTCGCTATATATATTTAAACCATTTCAAATGATTTTATACCAATTTTTTCCTCAATAATTGCCACACCTACTTTTTCTTGTACATAATCATTTTGGATTTTATCCTTTTGTGCATGCTCACACATTTATCTTAATATTTTCATCTATGCTACTCCAACTTTATATTACTACTGTTCTTTTAAAGTCCAACATTTACTATCATATAACATAACTGGTTATATAATAGTTTGATAAAACTTCTTTTTAAGTTTACTAGGTATCTTTCAATTACAAATAACTCCTTTAACATTTTTTGAATTAAACCACCTTACTTGTATCCTATATGTAACATCTCCATCAATTTTTTTATCATGTTGAATAATAGATCCCAAGTATCTAAATTTTTCCACTTGCAATATAATTTGATCTTGAAAGCTCACTTCCAAAATACTATTGATGGGCCTCTTATCAAAATTGTAACGCAAATATTCCATCGTACTCCTACTCAACCAGAAACCCTTTAGCTATAAGGTCCTCCTCCATAACTCAAGTTTGTAATTAATTTTTCTCTTATTTCCACAATAAGAACTATATCATCCATAAAAAGCATGCATTTGGAGATTTCTTCTTGAATGTACTCATTCAAAACATCTAGAACCATGTTAAACATATACGGACTCAAAAATGGTCTCTATGTAGTCCAATCCTTATAGGAAAGTCCTTTCTTTCACCATCACACATTCTTATATTGGTTGTTTTCCCTTCATACAGATATCTTGTATAATTCTAATATACGAACCCCAAACTTCTTTCTTTTTTAAAGATTTTCAAAGTACTTCTTTGATACATGGTCATAAGCATTTTTCAAATAAATGAAAATCATGTATAAATCTTTACCTTTACTTTGATATTTTTCCATTAACCCCTTAGTAAATAAATCGCTTTTGTAATTTCCCTACTCAGTATAAAGCCATATTGATTATCAAAAATATTATTCTTTAATTTCAACTTATAAGCTATAATCACTCTTTCCTACAATTTCATTGTATGAATTGTAAGCTTAATTCCTTTGTAGTTTGCACAATTATGAATATCTCTGTTATTTTTACAAATAGGAACTAAGGTGCTTCTCCCGCATTCTTTAGGCATTTTCTTGAACTGTGAGATATCTTGTTAAATAACTTCATTAGTCACAGCATCCTCTCTTCACCTCTATATTTTTACACTTTAATAAGGATACAATCAGGTTTATTATTGAGTTATTAAGTCCTCCAAGTTACTAAATGAGTCCCTTTATCATTGAAAAGTTTTTAAAAGTAGGCCTCCTATCTGTCTTTAATATCATCATCTACAATAAAAAAATCTTCCATTTTTATCCTTTATGTACTTTACCTGTTTCAAATCTCTTGATTTTTCTCCTACTCTTTGCAATCTTATAAATTTTTCATTCTCCATCCTTTGTCCCAAGACCTCTTCAAATACTTTAGAACAAGCTTCACTCATAGCTTTCTTAGTTTTCTTTTTTGCCATGCAATACCTTTCCTAATTTTCAATATTATTGTATAAATGAATGACTTTAAAACATTTCTTCTTATTTTTGACTTTTTCATGTACATTCTCATTCCATGCCACCAAGACTCTTTATCTTTTTGAACCAAAACCTTTTGATTCTCCCAAATTTTTTTTGCCAACCTTCTTTACTTCTTAGTCAAATTCTCTCATAAGATACTAGTACTTCCTTGACACCCCCAAATTCCTTTAACCAAAAGATTCTACTTAACAATTTATCGCTTTTCACCTTTTAACTGCTACTACATAATCCTCAAGCTGACTACTTGTTGTCGGTTTTGATTTTTATGCTTAATACACATATCAAGAACAAAGATTTATGTTGTTGTTATAACGCCAAGAATCACCTTACAATTGTTAGGATCATGAATAATATATGAAACAGAATATTACACACACACACACTCTATTTTATCTTAATTATTGGGCAAAATTAACTAATTTTGTAGTTTTAATGCAATGGTAGTTGACATACCAAACTTATAGAAAAATATGTCACTTTTTAATGTTACCTTTCATTGAAATTAATGACCATAATAAAGTTTTGTACAAAATTAAAAGCTTGCCAACAATTTGTTATAATTAAAGAGGGATAGGGTTGGAAAAAAGTTTAACTGCCACATCTTTATCATATATTTATTTATAATCAAATAGGATTTTGAAAATTTTCCTTATAATTAGGATCGGATGGAGTATATATACAAGTTTTGGTGTAGCACCCAATGGTGATATCACTTTTTCAAATTTAATAATAATAATAATAATAATAATATATAATAATAATAATTTTAAACTCATCAAATATCTAGTTTTTATTTTATATTCAAAATTTAGAAAACTAAGGAAAATACAATAAATAAGCATAGTTTCTATATTTGGTTGAAGGAAAGGGAAGGGGAGGGGAGGGGAGGGGAGGGGAGGGAGAGGGAGGAATCCCTCCTAATCTCTCTAATTTATAGGGGAGGATTCATGATCTCAAACATTTCTAAATCTATAGTTAAGAGGCTAATTTGTTATTTTACCCTCTAATTTAATATAAAAGTTCAATTGTGAACTTTAGAAGCTCAAGTATAAAATTTAAATCTCATAAGATCACTTGTAAATTTTGAAAAATTAATTTTGAACAAAACAAATTAAGTAGATAAATTGTAAATTGTGAGAAGGTCGTAAATCTTAAAAATTTGATCAAGAAATAGGGAACTAACTACAATGATAAATTATGCAAACCCTACTGAAATGACTAAGGATGACCTAATTTATAGTAACACTTGAAAGTTCATCAATTGATTTTCTTGATTTTATAATTATTCAGTTTCTAATATTTGCCATTAAAATTTTAATATTTAAAAGAAAAAACCATTTGTTGGTACTTATAATTTCCTTCAATTTTTAATTTGGTACCTGCTCTTTTTTTATTTTTTATCCCCTCCTTCAAGGTTTTTGCCGTTAGTCACGTTACCCCCTCTACAACTGAAAATTGTTGCGAGGGCTTACAGAGGAGCAGTCGCGTTATCTTTGAGATGGAATGCACGCGAGCTTGAAGACGACTCGATCTGGTTAGGGCAATTCGACAAAATGCGATATAACGCATGCAAGCTTCAACTCAGTCTTCATTCGACAAGAAGTGATAAGGTGACTGTGCAATCTTAGTTCACCAAAGTGATTCAGCTTCGTCTGTGACAAGTTGGAACACCATAAAGAGGGATTCTGTAATCTGCTTCGTCTAAGAAGATGCATACACCAAAAATAGGTTTGTCTCCGATTTCAATGATTGAGTATTTGTCTGTAGAACACACCTTATAACTTTTATAGCTTATATGTTAGATATAAACCATTTGGGGTGGATTGACATAGTAATTTTGCAGCTTGTTCACTCAATATGTATAATGCATACATGATAATTGAAGGTACATTTTGACTGCCAGTAACGCTGTTCAACTTTCTTCAGTATTCTAAAATTGTTTAAAGATTATGGTCTTATAATATGGTTCTGCCTTTTCCTAATCCCATAGCTTTGCTAAATGCAAGAGGCATCATTTTCTCTATTATCTTGTAGCAAAATTAGTAATCAAGTAAGAATTGGCAAATAAATCATAAATATATTGTTTTTTATGGTCCTTTGCTTGATCTACTGACAATGTGAAATGCAAATGTAAGATAATTGCACTATTTACATAGTTGACTAGCTAATTTCTGCAAGTTTGTACCTTGCCCCTTGTGCTCTGCTCAAAAGCATAAAGGGAGAAAAGAAAAGATGCAAAATAATTTGAACGAAGAAAAGTATGTACCTTACCCCTTTCCCAAATTTGACTAGTTAAAAAATGGTTCCTCTTAACTTCAAAATAATTTCATTGGTAAATTTTGTAGGAGGCTTGGTGTTGCAACTATTTTGATTGGCTAAAGAAGATTACGCAGATGATGCAAGAGAAACAGAATCTGGAGCAACAAAATAAGCTCATGAATTAAGGGATACAGCATTTGAAGGAAAACAAAGAGCACCTGAAGTTAAACAAGAAAATGCGAGCATGAAGCAAGAGATTGAGAGGTTCAAGAGAAATTTGAAGGGCTTAAAAATTGTGTTGTTTATTGTATAGGAGAATTTGAAAGTAGTGGAATGTGGGTGTCACCATTTCTGTTATACTTTATTGATTAAGTAGGAATATTTCAAGTAGTGGAATGTGGGTGTCACCATTTCTGTTATACTTTATTGATTAAGTAGGAATATTTTAAAGTAGTGTAATGTGGGTGTCACCATTTTTATTATACTTTATTGATTAAGTAGGAATATTTTAAAGTAGTGGAATGCAATGAAGTAGGTTGATGAACCATTTTATTTGCTAGAATCTTTTGTATTGAAAGTAGTAAAATATAAAGTGGATAAATGGACCACCTTTACTGTAATTTATGGAACCATCATCATGGAATCAAGTTGAGCTTTGTTGCTAATCTCTTTTATCACTTTTTCTGTCAATTTTTTCTTGTTGCTGTCACTTAATATGACCCCCCACCTATACACACAAATTACCTACTGGTATTGCACAAAAACTGCTGGTAATGTGCAAAATGCATTGGAAATCCTATTGTCATATTGTTAAACTTGCTGTCATTTATTGAATTTGCTGTCACAGGACCCTTGCTATTGGCAAAATAATCTATTTTTTCTGTCACAATATTATGTGTTTGTACAGACACAGATTATAATGTTGGGACCACATTTTGTATGTGAAGAGAGGGACAACAATTAAAAAATCCCCCTCATGAACAGCAAAGTAAAAATAAATACCATCCAGAGTCATTTACTATTTAGAATGCTGTCTTTTTTTGCTGTCATGAATATAAGAAACTGAAAATATGAAACAAACTGAAACTGTATATTCGAACTGCTTGACAAAAGTGATTAGCAACAAAACTCATCTTTATTTCATAATGATGGTTACATAAATTACATTAACAGTGGCCTATCTACCCACTTTACATTCCACTACTTTTAGTACAACAAAAGATACATGATAGCCACTAATAAAGAACACAATCTTTAAGCTCTACGACTTTATCTTCAACCTCTCAATCTCTCTCACCATGCCCTCATTCTCTTCTTTCAAGTGCGCTTTGTCTTCTTTCAAGTGTTTTTCTCTTCCTTCATGATCTCATTCTCTTGTATCAAATTCTCTGTTTTCCTTCATGCTATCATTCTCTTCTTGGTGCTTTTCAAGAATCAGTGCTTCCACTAAGCCATATTGCTGCCACTAAGTCTTGCATCATTTTAGAATAAAAGCTTGGGCTTCTACGTGCGCACAACCTCCCATCGCAATTCTGTTAGATAGAAATCAGATTATCAGAATGTGTCTGGGGTTATGGCCTATCTAGAGAGGGAACCATTTCCAAAAGAAGAAAAATTCAATGAGTGAACCTATCAAAATATGCCAACTTGTCATTGTCTTGAAATAAAATTACACTATAACTATGAAGTTCATAAAATTACACTATAACCTATCAAATTCAAAGTAGCTATTCGAACAAAGCTGTAGTTTAGGCATCGAATGTTCTGTAACAAAAGAATCAAAGCAAGCAAGCATTTCAAATGAACCTATGGGAAGTAAATGGTAAGCAGTCATTTGAATCCTAATCCATGAATCGCAGGTCCTCTTTTTGATGAACGAGATGAACCTGTTGCATGAAGACAAAGTCAAATCGCCCCATCACTGAAAGACGAGGCTGAATCACCCAATCGCTTTCTGCAAAACTCGAATCCCTAATTTTTGAATCCACTCTCGTGGGTGAAATGAGATCCCTAATCACCCTTTTGCTTTATGTTGAATGAAGATTAAGGCGAAGCTCTCTGAACTGATGAACAACAATCCCAAATCTCATCAGGATGCCTTCGAAGTTCCTAAGTTTCAGAGTCCAATGATAACACCTTTTGTGTTCCGTAAGTCCCTCAAGGGATTTCAGAAAGTGTAAGGAGTAACATGTTTAATGGAGGAAACTTAAAGGAGGGAATAAAAAGAAAAATAAGCACAAGTACCAAATTAAAAACTGAAGAAAACTATACTAAAAAAATGGTTTTCCCTATTTAAAAAAGGATGAAAGAGCAAATATTTTCCTCTAAATTATAGGTTTTTTTCAATTTTTGAAATTGGTGCAATATAGTATTTACTATTAACAAAAATTAACTTTGATTATTGATTAATAAAAAAAGTCATAAAAGCACCTCAAAAATAATTAAAAAAGACCAATAAAATTATCTTAGTCATTTTTTGTAACTTTTTGAATCATTGGTCTATAATTTATGGGTCATTTACAATAATTTTTATCATTTTCAATGTCTTTTTCAAATCAACTAAACATCAAAATTAATTTTTTTAATAATAGAAGTCAAATTTCACTTTTTTCAAAGGTTGAAGATGAATATTATATCAAAAATAATTTTACAATTTCAAACACTCTTGGATTTATAGAGTTATAGTTTAGGAGTCATTTGTTATTTATCCTTTAAAAAATTCTATAATTTTTAGATGAAGTACTCCTTCTCCGTCATTATAGCTCCTACATTAATTTTTAGGTGACGTATCACATGTACCACAACATGTGGTATAGAGAGACATGCTCTGGTTCTATGTCATATAGGCTTGCACACCATGCGCCGCGGCGCATATATTAGATTCTCTTGTCATGATAGATTTTTGATATGAGCTTCCACCATGTGTCATTTTCACATCTGATGTTTAATTGGAATGATTCAAGTGTCCACACGAAACTCATAACATAATCTATCTCATGAAATAAGTTTGAATACAATCCAATAATCCAATATTAAATTGGATGCCTAGGTACAAAAAGCTATTTTTCTTTTAAAATTGAGCGCCCTAAATGTTTAATTCTCACATCTTGCCTCATTATACTACTTTAGGCCTGAATCAAGTCTAAAAAGACCAATACACTTGTTTAACACATCATATCACATCATATTCATAATTGACCTCTCAATGTCACATTACATATTTTGGTCTCATATGAGGTAATACACATAACCACACAAATGCAAACACACTTGTTTCACTTTCAACTATTTGACTTCTACTTATAGAGTTAAGTCTCATCATATGGTCGGCAATCACAGTCTACTTGAATTACACACAAAGGAGTATTATATATATATATATATATATATATATATTGTGAAAAGGGGTAAAAAAATTAACTAAAAATTTAAATTTAAACTAAGGACGGTGATTTTCTTTTAAAATTTTAAAAATTCAAGATCTTTATTTATAGTAAATATTTTTATATGGTTCTTAAACTTTTTTTTCCCAACCATTTTTAACACACGTCCTCACCGTATAATCGAAGTTTTTAAACATACATTCAATTAATAAAATTAATATTGTATAATTTTTGATAGAATAATTTTAATACTGTCAAAAATTTAAGTAAAATATAAATTTTTAAAAATTTGAGTAAATCCATGTAATTTTTAAAAATTGAAAAAAGATCTTTCTATTTTACTCTTTTTTGTATTATTATTATTATTTTTTTATTGCTCACAGGTACCTTTCTATTGAAGGTAATTTTGTTCGAAGTAGAGTCAAGCATTAAATGAGAGCATCTCTCCCAACGAGATTCAAACCTTGGATTAGAATTAGCCAATGTCAAATTGAATAACAAATTAAAATTAAAATTGTTTATATCAAGTAAAATTTCATACTGTAATAAGTTGAAATATTTAATTTATGTATTTTGAAAGAGACACTAACTCATCCAAAACCTATAGAATCAATAATCTTATGTAAATTTGACTGGGATAATTTTATTATCAAAATATTTTATAGACACAAAGTACTGCAAACTTTTGCCCTTGCAAGGTCAATTTTATTAAAATATTATTATAACCCATCCACATACTGCAAAGACTGAGGTAATCTCTTCAATTCTGTCTTTCTCTTGAAATCTTCTTCCCCATGTACCTGCCCAAAGTAATAATAAAACAAAGTTATTCATTAATCAACTCCAATCACCAGCATTCTCAAATGAACAAAGTTTAGATTAATCCAAGAAAAGAAAGAATGAAAATCAGCCTATGATGTTTCTATTGAATAGTAAACACAAAAGAATCAATGAACTTTCCCAAATTTACAAGTCAATGTACTTATTAGGAAAAATAGCAATAAAAACCTCTTCTTGTCAAAACTCAAATGAAAAATGAACTATTGTTAATTTAAAATAAATTAGTTGTTGAAATCTAAACGGATATTTATTGATAAAAGACTAACCAGCATAAAAAATTATCCATTTAAATTTTGATAACAAGTGATCTTTGACTAATATAAATTTCTTCCAGCGATTTTTTATTAATATTTTCCCTACTTATTATTACCTTCCGAGCATCATGAGGGTGGCTTGAGGATTGGTCCCAGGTGCACTAAAAAAGGTTGAACCATCAATAACTCTCAAAGAATCCACACCCATGAACTTATAATCATGATCTACAACCTTATCAACCTTGCAACCTCCATGGTAATGATATATTGTGAGGACAGTGTCTATACAATATTGTTCCAAAGAGAATGCAGCACGTGGATGTCTTGGCCTTAAGTTAAATGGTAAGATCAAGAAAAGGTCAATTAATGCTTGGACTGGCACGTTCTTATATCGAAACTTTGAGAAAGCTTTGGAGTTTATCACATCTATAATGGTTTTCATGCCTTCAACACAGATCTTAAGGTCTTCTGGTTCCTTGAAGTAGTTGAATGTGACTGATGGATTGTCATTTGGATTAGTAGTATGGAGCTCAAGATGGCCTTTTGAGAGTGGTCCTGTGACTTTCTCAATGATCATTCCTCCTTTAAGATTTAAACTGGCAAGAGATTCAAAGGTTTTCGTCCACATACTTGCATTTGGTTGAGGGAAATACATGAAGGGTTGGCCCGTCTTCAAATAATAAAAGCCAAGTTAGCTTACTTTATCAAAACAATCAAACTTTGATAAAAGAGGATATATGGAATAAGAATAAGGTAGAATTACATTAAAGTTCCACACAACAAAATTAATTATTGCACTATCCATAAACAATTGAAATAAGGCCATTGTGTTGTAAATGGCCTTATTTTAGTTGTTAATAAATTTTACAGTGGTTAATTTCTTGTGTGTGATCTGTATGTAATTCTCCCTAAGAATAATAAGTGATAAATTTATCCATGGACCAGAGAAATACTTAGATAAATTGGGTGTGCCATGTCATTTGTAATTTATTCAATTAAAATACTCCAAATAATTTAAATAAAATCTTGTGTGACATTTTTTAATTGATTTATTCATATAATAGAATATACATTTGATTTATTGCCTTTTACCTTTTTACTATTATTAATATCTGAAACAATTTATATTTAATATCATGTTTTTATTAGACAGATTACAAATGACGTGATGCACCCAATTTACTTAAGAATTTCTCTCATGGACCATGTCTAAACCAATTCAATTTACATTTAGAGGCACAAAGTTAGGCGTAGCCCTAGTAAATAAATTAGGCCATTAATCAAGGTTTGAACTTGGCACATGGATGAGGACCAAGCATGCCATTACATGGTCCATGTAAGTCCGAGTCACAAGAAGTAGGGGTGAGCATTGGTCGGTTTGGTTCAGTTCGGTCTCAAAATATGCAAAACCGATCAACCGAATAATACTGAAAATGAAAACCAAATCAAACCAAACAAACCAATCAAACCGAATAAGGATCGAACTGAAATTTGATAATTCGGTTTGGTCAGTTAATTCAATTTTTTAGTTTCATATTGGGCTATTGAAATTGGGCCCATTTTTTAAAATATTAAAACAAACAACACTACAAAATTAAGCCTTTTTTTTCTATTCATTTTTTTTTCAATATGAGCCTATTTTAATTACACCCATATGACATAAAGTCCAAATATTATAAAGGCATGGATAATCAAATAAACACCGATGATCAAATAATAGCCCCATAATCCAATCACAACACTATAATCTAATTACAGCCATGCTAAATATATAATTGTAACAAAACAGACACGTGAGTGATGAAAAATAAAAATAAAATAAAATAAAATAATTTATAAATTAAATATAATTTATAAATTAATAAATTATATATAATTTAGTCGGTTCGATTAATTTGATTTTAAATTTTACTAACCAAATTGAACTGATCAACCGAAATATTTAAAATAAAAAAAACTGAATCAAACCGAAAAATTTAATAGATTGAATCAAATAGATAAAATTCGATTCGATTTAATTTTCAGTTTCAATTTAGTTTTGCTCACCCTTAACAAGAAGTGTCCAACTTTAAACCAATGATTAAAAAATCAATATATTCAAGCACGGACCTATGTTGGTGATTTGGGCCCCACTCTCTCCCGACAAAAATGATTTGTAATTTTGATTTCAGAGCATAGTAGCAATAATATGTAAAAAAATTGCAATTTATAACACTAACAATGTTAGGGAAATGTATTCAGAGTTAATTGTGATCCCAAATGTTCAATTATTAAGTTCGAAAGAAAGTTTTATTAAACTATTATAACACTAACAAAGTTGTTTAATAATGAATATTAGACGTTGGGGTGACAACAAGAGAAAACAATCTGAATAATAAAAATAAAAATATTAAACACATGTTCCGTACGTCATACAAAACAAAATAAAAAAAAAAACATTTGTTGGCTAACCTGGTTGGTTGGAGTCTCAAAAATGCTTTCAAAAGCTTGAGCCAAGGAAGCTCCCAAGCCCAATCCACTGCCTGCTTCAATATAGCTCCCAAACTTAGTGATGCCTACTATTTCGACGAGAGAGAGTTCAACAGGTAGAGGAGATGGCACTAGCAAAGCATTCATGGGGTTATCAGCGATATCTTTGCCCACCATGGGCTGATCCAACACCACTTTGATCCCATGGGCCTGAAGGTGTTGGGCCGGCCCAATACCACTCAACATCAATATTTGTGGGCTCCCTATTGCACCTGCAGATAATATTATCTCACCCTTCTGTTTTAGGTGTGCTTGATGTGTGACCCCATCCTTGTCTTTGAATGTTAC